AGTGTCCATCCCCTCTTAACTGCCAGTGTCTCAGCTGAATCACTGATGATGAAGAATATCATTGTTGTTGGCTCTTTCACCTAAAAGATAAGCCCCTGGACCAAGGTGGAAGAAATGGGACCCATTCCCATCCAGCTTTGACAACCACTTCCTGCCGATGCTTGGGAGAGTCGTGTAACCGCTCATTTACCATCTCTGACAGTGTAACCTGGGCAGGGTATCCCATACTTTGCCTTCTCACAGGAATAACATCAATTTTTCACATCTAATACATGATTTCCCACAAAGTGTGAACTCACAAAAGCCTCACTAATCGAAGAAAAGAATTAGTGAATTAATTAATATGCTCTTCTAATTTTTCAAAGCATTTGACATACATGGATAAGGTTTATGCTTACTAATTATCCTTATTAATAGAACTAAAGTCAGAATTACTTGTAGTCACCAGAGGGATTTATTTACTTCACCATCAAAATAGTCCTTTAAGTTGGCAGAGAACAGTGAAACCCGGTTAGAAATACAGTCACTCAGTCGACTTAAACTGCCCTCAATGACTTCTACTCTACATGCCCAGCTCCCTCTTCTGTAGCCAGCAAATCCCTACTGCTGATGACCTACTTGACAGTTCCATCTGACACAAACGTCTCCAGTTTACAAGTCCAATCCAAACTTAATTCAACGCTTTTCCCCATAAACCCACTTCTCCTTTTGGATTCATGACCACAGATACCACGATCACAGTTCACTCAATTTCTCAGATGAGGAAGCATAAAATCAGACCGGCATTCTTTACTCAGCCACCAAATCTGGATATTATCTGCTTTATTGATATGCCATCATTCATTCAAGAAATATTGCTTGTGTACCTATTAGGTTTCAGGCACAATGAAAAGAGCTAGGCATACAATTAGAAAACACGATCCTTTCCACCTTGGAGCTTACACTCTGCTGTGTCAGTCAGACCCACACACACAGTAAAGGCCAGTAAGTAAAGTAAGTTCAAAGAATTACAACGGGTACAAAGGAAACTAGCAAAGTGTGGTCCACTTTGGACGGAAAAGGGTCCCGTTTGGTCTGTGCAAGGAACTGATGGATGGATGGCCAGCATGCTTGGAATGTAGTGCCTGGAAGGAAAATGGGGTAAGAGGAAGTTGGTAGGTTTGCAGGGGTTCTGGTCATGTAAAGCAACAAAATAATGGAATTGGAATGTATTTGAGGACTTTGGGAAGCCAATGAAGAGGTTTGGTTATGGGGTCATGTGATCTGAGTTGTGTGTTAATATCTTTCTGGCTTCTTTGTGGAGAAGAGGTTGGAAGTCAGAGAGAATGGCTGTGGGTTTGTCTCGGTGTTCCAGGTCACAGGTGAGGATGGTCTAGACCCGGCTGATGGCAGCACAGAAGTAGAGTAGCCTTGCCTCTTTCCCATTCCCTATCTACTGACTTATTTGAGGCCCTCATTTTATCTTATTTTGACTTTCATAAATACCCTGTCGGTTATTTAGATGTTCTTAATCTGTCCTCCACACTGCCTGCCAGATACACTTGTGCTCAGAGATCCCAACTCACTTTTGACCTTCCACCCACCATCACTGTCCTGAAGAGGCTCTCAAAAATAAGTGAAGGATACACAACAAAGTAATGGAATTGGAACGACTAAAAATAATGACTTGGTCCCACCTGATGTACAAAGCAATACTCTCTAGGCACCGTGCATGTGTATTTTCAGCAAGTTTCTCCAAGCGTTGCAGATCATCTTCTCTCTTATCCTCCCTACCATCCCTGGGAACACTGGCTTCTTTTTTTTTTTTTTTTTTTTTTTTTTTTTTTTTTAATTTTTTTTTTTTTCAACGTTTATTTATTTTTGCGACAGAGAGAGACAGAGCATGAACGGGGGAGGGGCAGAGAGAGAGGGAGACACAGAATCGGAAACAGGCTCCAGGCTCTGAGCCATCAGCCCAGAGCCTGACGCGGGGCTCGAACTCGCGGACGGCAAGATCGTGACCTGGCTGAAGTCGGACGCTTAACCGACTGCGCCACCCAGGCGCCCCGGAACACTGGCTTCTTAAGCTACAATTTAGCTAAACACAAGATCTGTCCAGAACTGCTGCAATTGGCCTACCCTCCTCCATTCACGGTCGACATCTCACCATCTCCTGTGTGTCTTTTATATATGTTGTCCCCTCAAACCTGAAGGAGAGAAAGTATCCTGTTGCACTGTCTGGGGAGGTGGGTAGGCACAGAAATCAATAGGTGGTTACAAGACAACAGGATAGATATTTTGGAACAGGGCTGGGAGGACCAAAAGATGTCAAGGATGATAGCAAGATTCATTGTGCATCCTGATGTCACCAGCAGGGTCTACCAAATAAGATTTTGATGAATGAATGAATGAATGAATGAATGATGATTGTAAACAATGCCCACTATTCAGGTACAAGGAGAACAGAACAGTGTTCCTTCTTTAGCTGAATCGATGTCATAAAGCACTGATTACTTATATCGAAATAAGGAAGAACCACTTAAACTAAGATTGCTTTTAAGGCAATATGTTCCAAATGAAAGAGGACTCCACTAGTCAGGAAAGACATTTTATTTCCAAGCTTCTAAGAGGGTTCTACAAACAACAGAGGCTTAAAGTAAAAAAGAGAAGATAAAAAGAAAAAAAGAAAAACAGAAAAACAAGTATTTTAACTATTGAAAATTAGACAGCCTTTTTTTTAAACTTAAACATAAAAATCTAAAAATGTAGTTGTCAAATCTAATCTAAATACATTCCTAGACAAAAAGGATCATCCATGGTGATGGGGTTACTTACAGCTGTATTCTTGTGTAAGTGCTATTCATCCTTTTGCATTATTTCTTTATTTCAAATTCAATTGGAGATCTGTGCAAATCTAGCAAAATATTCTTTGGATTACAAAAACTATATAAAAAATGAACAGAACCTGCAATTTATGGAAGTATTGAGAATGTGCAATCCTTCATTGAAATGAAAGATTCCAAAGTGACATTGTCCACAGAATTTATTCCACTGAAGTGTTCAATTTGATTTAAATGCAAAGTAAAATGAAAGTGAGCACTTCATATAAACATTTCTCTTTTTATGCATGTTGACTGAGTCATAAAAATAGTATGTAGCAGGATATCAAGAAATGCTTGAAACAAAGTTTCACAATAAAGTAAAAAAAGAAAGATAATCTAAAAATTGTCTGCAACCCAAGAGAAAGCATGTGCCCTGTTTCTAAGGGGAAAGAGGGAGAACACGTGTAGCATGACTTTGTGTGGTCTTTCCCCGAGTATTGCTACATTTTGACCTTTGGCCCAGCTGAACAGGTGTAATGTACTCCACGGAAGTCCCAATCCCCAGGCAGCCAGATGGGACTTCCAGAGACAGCAGGCATACTGGCACTGACCCTCAGAATCCACCAGGGTCCCTGCCCTCATTCTGAGCTTGTTGCCAAAGCATATTTTAAGGTTTGGAAATGAATTGCTCTTTCTTTCATCAAAATTTAAAATGCCACATTATTTTAAGAGGACTGAAATTCATAGGAGGGAAATATAAGCAGTTTCAACTGTCAGAGTCATTATGAGAGCCTGGCAAGATCAAAGTAGGGAAAAATAGAATAACATCGGATGTCTGATAACTACATGTAGCATATTTCTATTTTTGACCCTTCCCTCGCCCAACCCCCAAATGCTCAGTATCGGGCATAAAATCTACATCTTGGAACTTTAGAGGTCTGATCATTTCATTTCCTCATGGATTCATCTCTCATAACCATTGAATTACTGATATACAAGATAAATGCCTATTATATAACAAGTATTGCAAAATCAGAGACTGACCTAGATCTTTCGCATCCTTCTTTTTCAGAAGATGTGTGCAAAGAGAAGCCAGGAAGCTAACACTGAGAATGTACAAGAAAGCTTTAAACGATGTTACAGAATCTTGTCTGAAAAAAAAAAAAAAACATTTGCAAAACATACTTGATTTTAAATAAACAATAAAAGCAGCAGACTACAACATCTCATAAATAGGGTTATTAAAAGATCACAATTATCTTAAATTAGAAATATAAATGGGTCATTAGAAATACTTAAACGTTTCAATGTTAAGAATGAAACCCAGAATTAAAAAAAGAATCTGTTTTTTATTTCAAAGTTGCTTCTTATATTGAAGCTCATATTAAAGCAACAGTACAATGTTCATAAAATATAAGTGTGATGCCGTAACATTTCTTACATGTCAGAATACTGATATTTGTATGTATACTAAAATAAGAACTTTAAAATTGTACAAATAGATACATTAAAAATGACATAGAAATAGGGCGCCTCTCACTGAAACAAGACAGTTATATCTGGCACGTATTAGTTTAAGATGAAAGTAGAAGGAAAAAGATTTACAAGAATCAGCAGTAACAAGATTGATGCTCAAGAGACATAATTGTACATTGTATTGTACATACATTGTATGGGTTTAAGCTGGCTGAATATTATATATTTCAAGTTTAAAAATGCACTACATATAGAGTGTCCATAGTTTAAGGCGGAATTACAGCTCAGAACTGTTGTCCTTTCTAATTTTCTGGAAGCTTCTTTGACAAATAAAAAAAAAAAAAGGAAGAAGAAGAAGAAGAAGGAGAAGAAGAAGAAGAAGAAGAAGAAAAGACTTAGATGTTCATAACACATAAACGATTTCCCTTCATTGTAAGTTCACCATGAGACTTCTCCTTCACTTAAATATTTTGTACGCCAAGTGGTTTTTTTCTCCAGCGAAGTTGATAAACAACTTCAATATTTGCCTTTTTGCGAGAAAAGGTACTTCACAGTATTTACCACTTTGATGTCCTTGCAGTTTTATTAAATGTATCCTCTCTGTAAAACTTTGCTTGTTTTAAATGAGCCTTTCCTTGATTTAAAAAAATACCTGTTTACATATCTTCTAGATTCTTCAGAATGCCAGACACAGTTCTTAAGGCCAAATTTGTACCATTATTGTTAAGAGTCGTCGTCAAAAGTGTCTTTGGAACCGTACAAGTCTGCTAGTTTCTTAAAACGAGGTCCCCAGTTCTGTAGGTAGTCATAGTCCAAGTCTGAATCTGTGGTGGCAGACTCTAAGGAGCTCAGGGACCCGGCCACTGAGCCCCTGCCTTCGTAACCATAGATTTGGATGGAATCATAAGGAGGGGCAGTTGGGTCATTATCTGCCTCCTGTATTCTCGTGTTGATGAAATCATCGACGTCCACACTGTTGGGTGCTGGCCGGAGTCCAGGCCTAGGCATGTACTGATACTCGGGTTTTATGTCTTTGCGAGGGATAAATCCATTGATCCCATCAGGATTCTGGAGGGTGGCAATATCAAAGGCTTCTGTGTCTTCTTCCCCGCCCCCTTCATCGTCATAGGTAATGATGTTCTCACGGACATCTTCTTCCTCAAAGACTATGAGTGGTTCTTTCTTTTGCCGTCTCAGGGTCACAAACAACACTACAATGACTATGGGGAAAGCACAAGAAAGTAAGCATAGGTCAAGCCCAGTATTTCTGGGTTCTCCCCACCCACCACCAGGAGAACTCTGCTTACTGTAAGACATGGTGGGTACAAGCTTCAGAATAGGAACCAGTCTATCACTGTGTGAAATGAGAGCTTTACCTGGAATCCCCAAAGATGTGTAAAACTGCCCTCCACCTGTCTCTTCCTCTGCAAAATGCCGCCAGGAAAGATGATACCCAAACAAACTGGCAAGTTGGAACTATTTTGAGCTTTTTACAAATGAATCCAATGCTATTTGGAAGTCATGTTCCTCAGAATTGGGAAGATTCTAAATATATTGGTCTGCAGCCTCTTAAAAATGGCTTATGTCGGTTTCGTTTTCCAACGGAAGACAGCTGTCTCTCCAAAGTTTATGAACGAGGACGTTCAGAGACCTCAGTCCTACCTTTCTATAAGAGGTGATGCTAGTTCCTGCCCAGAGGGCTGGGGGCTGAGAAGAATGAACAGGAGTCCTACTCTACCTTAATAAGAAATCTTATCATAAATGTGGCAGGGTTCTCTTCAGACCACCGTATGGAAGAGGGGAAGTTTATAATGACCCCCAGAAGACAAATCTCCTCTTTATTTGCATATAAGGAAACAGCATCAGCTGAAGCCCAGAGGAACAGCTCCATCTCCTCCCTGGGAAAGGTGATTCGACTACACTCAGGCAACCTAGCATCGCTACAAGAGGTTTCTATGATATTCCATGAGAACACTCTGCCATGGCTAGACTAAAGAAAATGTTTGTGGCTGAATCTGACAGGTGGTCTGGGAGCCCTAGTCGGTGCATCATCACTGGGAGATGCAAGGCTGAGGCTTTGACCTTGTGTGGACTGTGACCGGCTCCCAGCGCTCACCAAGCAGTGTCCCTCCCCTGTGCCTTGTTGTTGACAACACCTACGCCCAGACCACTCCTTTCCACCTCCTGTTTGGCTGACTCTTCTCTCTCATCATGGAAACCTATCTCGGCATCTCATTCTGACACCAGACACGGCTACTGGCATGCACTCCACCACCCACCTGGCCTCGTTCTTCTATCATCATAACTTATAATTTGGTTTACATATCTGGCTCCCCCTCCCCAGACTCTGAATTTCCTCGAGCTCTTTGGCATTCTGTTCCCTCTGCTTGGAAAATCTATCCATCCCAGTCTCTCTCACCATCTGGAAAATTCTTCAGCATCCAACAAGTATGTCACTTCCTCTAGGAAGATGTCCCTGACCTTAGTCAATGTGAGGCAATTCCTGCTGTGTGTCCCCATCACCTTTTATTCATGTCCCTATCATGGCACTCACCCCATGCCTCTGATTTATCTGTTCACTCGTATTTTCCCTGATAGACTGTGAACGGTCATGGACAAAGATGATGTCTGATTCTTCTCTTTATCCCCCAGGGCTGAACACAGGACCTGGTACCCAGATAATTCTCAAGAACTCTTTGTTGACCTGAACTCAGGGGCTGTTCGCTGTGCAGCTGGGCTGCCTACTCATTCAGTGGAGAATGAAACATCATGGAACAAGCATAAATTTGGTGTCAGACATCCTTGGGTTTGAGTCCTGATTTTTCTCCCACGTGGTCTCATCTTGCTGAAGGCCAGCCACGGTAAATGTTCTTAGCATGGGCACACTGCTGTTCTTTCAGAGTAAACCAGAGAGGACATGAGAATGCAGAAGTGGGGCAGCTAACTCAGCCTGCAAGTGCAGGGAAAGCCTCCCAGGGGTCCCCCAAAACTGAGGCTTGCTCCCAGATAATCAGAGGAGGAGTCAAGATCCAGCTTGGCCAGGCCAACCTCATCCATTTCCTTAAGTCCTTCAGACGTTGTCTGTGGCCTCATGATTACTCCTTCTGTCCCTAACTCTTCTCTTTCCTCCTATTTTTTTAAATGTTTTTTTTTTTAATGTTTATTTATTATTGAGAGAAAGAGCCAGAGCGTGAGCAGGGGAGGGGCAGAGAGAGAGAGGCAGACACAGAGTCTGAAGCAGGCTCCAGGCTCCGAGCTGTCAGCACAGAGCCTGATGCAGGGCTCGAACTCACGGACCGTGAGATCATGACCTGAACCAATGTCGGGCACTTAACTGACTGAGCCACCCAGGCGCCCCTTCTCTTTCATCTTCTAAGGCAAACTTCTGCTCATATCCCACACTTCTGCCTGAATTCCTCTTGTGCAAGACCTTCTCAGATGTCCCCCTACAGCACCCCCGGCTGGTTGCTGCTGTGCTGTCCTGCAGTGCCTGACAATTTGCTCATCAGAACCCTTCCCCGACCCTGCTCAAAATGCTTGTCAAGTTGCCACCCAAATCATAAAATGCACCAGAGCAGACACCACCTGCATCTTGTCTCAAATTGTAGCCACAGTCCTTGGTATAGTTCTGCTAACCAGCCTGCACTCCAGAAGTGTATGTTTCCAGGATGGGCATCTGGTTGCAAAACCCTTCCTGCAGGCCACAGCGGAGTCCGCTTACCCAGCAGAATGACGATGCAGGCGAGGATGGCGATGAGCGCCCCCGTGCTCAGGCCGGCATTCAGGATGTAGGCCTCAGCATTGCAGGACAGCAGTACACCGTGCACATCACACCCACAGACCTTGATGGTGAGGGTGTTGGTGCTACTCATGGGAGGGACTCCGCCATCGCTGATCACGATGGGCAGGAGGTACAGATCCTGCTTCTGCCGACTGAAGCCTCCACGCCGGGCATACACCCCTGCAGTGTTATCTGTTGGAGGAAAGGAGACCTTTGGAATCACAGCATGAATATTTGTGCATTCAGCTTGGCAGACGTGAGGCTGAACTTCTCATCCTCAAGGTCAACAGCCAGAATCCTTAATCTAGGTATCTGTAGAAGCTACAGGCATCTGGCCTTGCAGAATAATGTCTCCATATTTTGGAACCAAGCTCAGACATTGGCTCTTTTTTTTTTTTTTTTTAATATGGGGTAGATACACATGTCCCCACGGGCAAGTTAAGCACACTGTTTTCTGATAAGGTATTGCCCCTTTCATCAGATACCACAAGAAAGTGTGGGCTCAGACCACATACTCTATGGGAGTATAGGAGATAATTAAATATATAAATGAGTGTGAGAAGAAACAAACAGAAAAATCTTTTTCATATTTGTACTTTCCTACTTCATGGCAAGCCTTTGGCCAGTTTCTGTTTGTCTGCTTTTGTTTTTGTGTTGTTTTAAGACATTTCCAGTTCATACGCAAACCTTACCCATACTTTGAGCCCACTCATAAGTCCTAAAGGAATATATGTTTAAAGAGGAACTTTTTATAAAAACCCAGTAGCAGGTTTATAGTCTCTTTGAAATTCAAGCACCATCCACCAGCTAGTTAAACATGTCATGCCTCCTGCTTAAAATAATTCCAAATTATCTCTGCTGTCCACACAACACAGCCCTACCGAAAACCACTAGATTTTTCTCTATTTTTAAGACATTATTTGCCTTCCAGGGTCACACCCTATCCATTCCACACGCCCCAGTTCAGCCTGACATGCAGACATGGCTTCTGTTTCCCAAGCACACCACACCTCCCCCACTGCCTTTTTACCCACTGTTCTGCTGCCCCA